GACGAATGTATCATCCTAAGTAACCTTTCGTTAAACATATTTTAAGGGGTAATGAAAGATATGTTCCATACAACAATATTCAACTCACAAAACAGTGGATTTTACAAGGCTAAATCTCCCAGATCGTCACCAAAGCTGAGCATCATGGTAGGAAGTTGGTGTTGCGTGTATGGTGGAATTATTTGGGTATTTTTCATAAATACAATGTAAAATACATGCACATGTACACTTACAGAAGCTGCAACGTCTCCATCAAAGTTTAGTAGAAAAACATCTTGTTGTTTTCAGTAGGAAAATCTTCAGATTCAATTGTTTAATGAAAACATTTTCACATCAAAATCTATAAAACAATCTATTGCAAATAATTACGAATATATATTAGAATAATATATAATTGTACATTGTTTGAAGAATGCAACTGACAGTCAAGTTTCGATGATATCCCATTTCATCATGATTACATCCAACCAATTCTCCTAATGATAGGTTTTTTTTAGTGTAACATTCATTTTTTTCACCAGTCCTTATAGTTTGGTTTGGTTTGTTTTACGGCATATAAAGCGCGATGGGTTATTTAATGCCGATAATATTTTTATTTCTGGTAATATTTTTTTCCAAAAATGTATTATTGATAATGCATTGCTGGTAATAATTTCTTTCTTCAAAAATTAATTACTGCTAATAACCATTTCCAAAAATGTATTACTTGCATTAAAACCTATTTTTACACATTCATAGAGTTTTGACCTTAGTTTGGGGGTCAACTATTTGCCCATAGCTGGGACCCTTTTTTGTTTTTTTCTTACTGCAGTTTGCGAGTTCAACCCATAGCTAGAAATCTAACAGGAGCTACTACCCTGGTCATCGTGAACCTGTAAACTACTGCATTTAAGAGGCGGTTTTAATCTCCTCAAAACCTCCCGATACTTGCTGTCGGATGTAATTTATTGTCATACCCAGGACGAGGCATGGCGGAGTAATGAAAAGCGGCTCGGATTGAGGAATCGGAGAGCTGAATTCGAATTCCATTCGAATTCATTGCATTCACTTACATGCCAATAACCTCGTGAAACGTATGAACCCTTTCCTCTCCCGACAGCTATGGGTAAATAGCAGGACAAACCGGGTTTTTTAGCCTTGGAAGGCAACTGGTTGGCCACAGAAAGAAATGGCAACCTACTGCGGAAAAAATCTGCCTCGTATCACGCATGGCACATAAATGACTGACCCAGGACAGTATCGTTTCGTGTTACAAAAGTTAGGTATTTGTGGTGATCCATGATCGTCCATGTCCTAAAGTAACACGGTGTATAAACGTAGAATAAGACATCATATAAAAATAGTAGACTTTCGCTGTAATCATTTTAGATCCGTTGAAAATACGCAACTCTCTTCACCACCAAGCGAGTTCACAGTAGCATTTTGGTACCATATCAGCGACTATCGTTCTTAATTTAGTTGCTCATGTTGTCTGCGAGGCTCACCTGTGGTAAGAATTTCGACTGCATAATGCCTACCTCTCTTCTACTAATCTTTAGAAAATCGAGAACGAAGCGTTCGGAATTTGGACACTTTCAAATTTACACATGCTCGAACTCTCAGTGAAGTAAATGAAATAAGAAGTCATTATATTTTAGCCTACAACCCACAATAGTGCAATGTTTTGTCTGACGCGTTGTTGACCTGAAGCTAACAGATCTGTGCCGTTCGTTGGTAGAATTCAAATCTAGAGCAAGGGTTGAAAACGGGATTTTCGCTCGAATGCTCAATCAACGAAGTAATTTTCCGGGTTTTTAATTCCAGGATTTACTTCCTCTATCCGGGATTAGCTGGCGCTCGAACCTTGAACAGAAGACCTTGGGCAAATCCTTCTCTCTTAACCGATCTTGTGATCAGTCTCGTACATATTTCATTATATCTGAAATATATAACAGAAATGGCAATCTATTTGTTCACGTTCGCTGCTATCATTTTCGCACACCCGAATCTTTCTTTCTCTTCATGCGAATAAATATCTTAAATCTATTCTGAACGTAAAGGTTGCGAAATATTTGAATTTGATAAAAACTTCCTTTTGGCAAAGAACAGGATTTAAATAATGATATATATGAGAAATACGTTACTTAACTTTTTTTTTCTTTATATAAATAACAACCCTATTTTATCAGTAAATCTTCAAAAATTTCTGAATATTGAAAACGGTTTTTCAGTATTATACTATTTATATAGTAATTTATTTAGAATCCTTCCAATAATAAATTGATATAATTTGATATTCAGTGCATATTTATACAAAAATACATTCAGTATAATTATGTTCGATATATGGATATATCCAGTCAGTAACAGATGCATACATACATAGCCGTTTTATTTTTATTATTTTATTTTGAAGCGGGAGAAGTAATTCGTACATTACAAGATGGGTCCTGTCTGACAGAGGATTATTTTCATAACCTTTAGCGGCAAGGTTTTACAAGACTAGATGTTTTTCATGAAACCAACTCAGCCACTCATGCTAGTTTAAATACATCGAGTGTTTTTATATAGACATCATATCTTGGAAAGTTCTCATGCTGTATGTTACCTGTAAGCTCCAATGAAAAGCACATCCACTCTTTACAGGTTTTGTTTTTCGCCCTACGGCGTGATATGTCGCCCTATTAACCAACAGAAAAAGCTCGGTATTAGATGCCAACCACAGGTTTATTTGGCAGGTAGTACTGGGTTGCATGTTACCAATAGCAGGAGTAAGCATGACCTGACCGACTGCTTGCATTAGTTCCTAACTAATGAGAGACATGTGCTTCCTGACATTCGATACAGTTCTATCACTATTACCAATTAATTTACATTACAAATATTAACCCTTTTCTGACAATAATTGTTAAAGTTAATTCCTGATGAATGCTAACATACTCTTCCTATAGTAAAATTTATGACCACACGTATTCGAGGATAGCCGAGGCTAGGCAATCCTTATTGCAGACGCTTGCCCAGGCGCATTCGTGTTTATTCAAAACCTTAGTTACAGTTTCTGGGAAATAGCGTGATCATCAATTTGAACAAGGCGAGCACGCTCAAGCACTCGGCCATACTGACTTGTGACTTCGTGCTAGCTCAGCTATCGACGGCCTCCAAGGGTTCATTCTACTCACTTTCACTCATTAGGTTTCGCTTAAACCGTGGTATGGATTTCAGGCACTTTCCAAAGGTGCCGCACACTGGGATCTACACTTTCAGTCCGATAAGATCAGGAAGTCTCCTTCTAAAAAATTCGACCCTGGAGAGATTCGATCCCGGGTCTCATAGTAAGAATTCGAACTTTCTAACCATCACAGTAAAATAATCAAGAACATATTTACATTACAGGTGTTAAGCCACGATTGTTAGTAACGTTTGTTTTAACCAATAACAAGATATTCCTACTTGACGATCAATACATCTCTGTAGTAAAAACCATTAGAAACGAATTTACATTATTGATGTTAACATTATTTTGTCAGTTGCACTAAAGTTAATTCATGAACAATGACGTTATATTGATTTTGATTTCAGTACATTACTATACTAAAAAGCATAAAGAATATATTTAACTTAGGGACGCTAACAAATACTATGTCAGTATTAATAAATTTCATTTCTGATTAATGACGATATAGTCCAATCTGATTACCAATACAGCTCTATACGATAATCATTAGCAATGCATTTACATTATACTTAGTAATGTTATTCTCTCAGCAAAACTAACATTAATTCTGAACACTGACGATACATACCTATCTGAATATCAATATATATTTATATAGTAAAATCATTAGCAATGCATTTACATTATGCATATTCATGTTATTTTCTCAGTAAAACTAACATTAATTCCTGAACCCTTATGATATATACCTATCTGATTTTCAGTATATTTCTATAGCAAAACCATTAACAATGCATTTACATTATACATATTAATCCTATCGGAATAACTTAATTTCATGACCTCTGACGTTTTCATCCAATCAGATTATCAGTATATTTATATAGTAAAATTATTAGTAATTAATATACATTATACCTAGGCTGAATACTTACCATGGTTAATGAATACTCCCACTTATTCAGGCAACGTTTATTTTGAAATTGGGGAAATCTCTCTCTAATTATCCATTTAATTCCGGTCAAATATATTCATTTTCTGCAAGATAGTGACTGGATTAGATGAAGATTTATTTTTATAGTCGTGAAAAGATTGATTAATATTTGCAGCCTATGCCGTATCAGTAGTTTCTTTTTCTCAAACTTCTCGTGTTTTCCAGCTTTTGATTTGATTTTCAAAAACTGAAATGCATTGTTAACCGTTAAGTTCCGTCTTCTTAATTCCCGCTCTTTTGTTATTTTATCTACATTAGAAGGTTTTTCATTTCTCAAATTCTCACTTTCTCAGAAACCCCTTGCGTCTTAGTGACGCTATTGCCTTTTATGGAGGGAAATGATAAAAAAAAAATACTTAAAAAACAAAAAGGTGTGAAGTCGGGACGAAAAGAGAAATGCGGTTGTTTATTTTTTCCTCCTTTAGCCCGAATTCTGGTAACAGGAGTAATTAGAGTAAATGATTTTTTTTATATAATCTATAGATCCTACCCATGACATGAAAAATTGTTAAAAATCTTATGCTGTAATTCGTTATTATCTTAAAATGCAAGAGACACTCTCTTAAAATGGTATTTTTTAGACATGCTCATATTACTTTGAGTGATGTGTAATTTCTATTTTAGTCAATCATTTGTAATGAGGTATGTACATGCCATTCAGTTTAGAATAAATTTCGAGTACGTTATAATAAAACAAGGTTCAACAGCGGATTGATAAGTATAAATCTAGACAGTGGCTCCCAAAAGCTGAGCTCCATCGATGAAGTTCAATGTTATGCAAGTGTCATGATCGTCAAGGCATTATTCATTTAGAATTCTTAGGCACGGTGGAGTAATGGATAGCGGCTCGGATTAGGAAATCGGAGAGCAGAGTTCGAATCTATTACATTCAGTAATCAACTGATTATAAACGTTTTCGATTTCAACAAAGAAGAAGAAGTAAAAGAAGAGGAAGTATGTTAGAGAAGAAGAAGAAGAAATGAAGGAGAAGAAGGAAAAATAAAGTAAAGAAGAAGAAGAAATAAAGTAGAGGAGAACAAATAAGAAGTAACTTAGAGAAGAAAAGAAATATGTTAGAGAAGTAGAAATGAAGTAGAAAAGAAGAAGAAAAAAGACGAAGAAGAAGAAATACGTTAGAGAAGTAGAAATGTAGTAAAGAAGAAGAAGAAGAAAAAAAAGAAGAAGAAATAAATTATAGAGGAGAACAAAGAAGAAGATGTTACTTACAGGAGAATAAGAAATACGTTAGAGAAGTAGAAATGTAGTAAAGAAGAAGAGGAAGAAGAAGAAGAAGAAGAAGAAGAAGAAATAAATTATAGAAGAGAACAAAGAAGAAGATGTTACTTAGAGAAGAAGAAGAAATACGTTAGAGAAGTAGAAATATAGTAAAGAAGAAGAAGAAGAAGAAGAAGAAATATATTATAGAAGAGTACAAAGAAGAAGTAACTTACAGAGGGAAAAGAAATAAGGTAAAGAAGAAGAAGAAAAAGAAGAGGAAGAAGAAAAAAAGAAGAGAAGTAACTTACAGAAGTAGAATTAATAATGTAGAGAAGTAGAAAAGAAGAAGAAGAAAAAAGTAGAGGGGAACAAAGAAGAAGTAACTTAGAGAAGAAGAAGAAGAAGAAGAAGAAGAAGAATGATGAGGATGAATACAAAATGAAAAGAAAATTCCAGCTAGGAGGTTGCAAAGAGTACAGCAGAATCAAGTTCGCTCAGAGGAGGCAGCATATATCGGAAAATGTAAAGGAGGCGAATAAAAGAGTCTGTGTACTTGTTGAACAACCTCAGGTTTCAAATCTATGATTGACATATTAAAGGCTGACTGAAATCTTTCCATCAGCAAAGATTAAGAAACACTCCAGCAGATAAATGATTGACAGGCCGGTAGTGGGCGCTCTTTATTTGCATACGCACAGACGTAGCATTTGCATCAAACAGACAACGTGTAGCCTGCGGGCAGTTGGTTTTACGTTTGTTCTGTCTGTACCTATGTCCGTCTTTTTGTCTGTCAGTCTCTCTCTCTCAGCATCTTTTAGGACGTACGTAGATTAAATGTAGTAAACGTTTTAAAGCCAGAAAGAAATAAACTTTCAACTCATTTTTCTGAAAAAAAAAACATAACACGAACTGAAGAAAAAGAGGGGAAAAAATGAAAAAGCCAATAATAAAAAGATAGACGATCAAAAAAATTAACTACTATGATATGAACGCGAATTCAGTCTATCAGTAGATTTCCAAATTTCTTGCAGTCGAACTATCTTTTAACACTTTTCTTTCTGCGTCTGAGTTACGTAAATTTAACAACTCATGTCTCTCTCTCCATATATATATATATATATATATATATATATATATATATATATATATATATATATATATATATAAAAAAAAAAAACAATTATTGATATTTTTTTATTTTTACAAAACAGTGCTCAATGTAAATTTACAGAGTATAAATATTATAAATTAACTAATTTAAAATATGGTTTCTTCGCTACACACTAATAACGATGTTGCAAAAACTGAAGCTAAAAAATTCAAATTTATTTATATAATAAAATTAAAATCATCCGTTCTGTTTCATCTTCAAGCGAATTTTGGAATAACTTATTTTTAAATTTACTGAGTTTTAAACGCACATATAAATTCATAATTTCCTGTTTCCAAGGATACAGAGAAATCCAATCATTTAGACAGGGGCGGTAGAGTGTTCATTTGTATTAACTATTGTTGTATCAATTATGAGTTACGTTCGAAAAAGAGGTTAAGTTTAGGGAGGGTGGGGGTGTATTTTTCAACGAATTCTGACATCCGTTAAACGCATGTCGTCTGGGCTTCTTTTTTTTAAACGACAAAAAAGTTTTTCGGCATTCTTTTCGTACTTGTATACTTAAGGATTCTTTCTAAAATGTGTGTTTGGGTTAGAATACGCTATAGTTAACTACAATTTTAAAATATTTTACACACACACACACACACACATATATATATATATATATATATATATATATATATATATATATATATATATATATATATATTTTCTACAGAATTGTTGGATTTTAATTCTTAATCAGGCCGATTTTATTAATGAAGCATTATTTTTAGTGCATACCCATATTTGGATAGTCGGCCCTTTATTTATTAAATATTATATTTCTTTTTGTTAGCCAGCCTGAATATTCGTCAAATCTTATTAAAATTATAAGCATTCTCTGACAGGATTTGATATCACATCCCCATTGGCAGGGGAAATCCTCAATAAATTCGACGAGCATTAGACCGTCTTGGTCACGCAAAGTTGAAGTGAGCCATATAAACGTAAACCTTTCTCAAACTCTAGAAACATCTGCTCAGTTGCTTATCCGAACCTAAACAATCTGATTTCTAAAGTGAAGAATTATTTTATTTATTCATCCAAAAGATTCTTTTTATTTAAATATTGTTTGTAGTGGATACACACACTTGAGAAGACGCCTCGTTTATTTATTAAATTGTATTTTTTTTTTTATTTATGCCGTTATACAAAGGCCCCTAGCAGGGTTGTTTCTTTGATTTGAACCTTTTAAAACCTTTTATTCTGCATTCATCACCATCACTTGATTACACACCAGAAGTGTTGAAACCAAATCGCTATTTTTGCAGTGATTTTATAACATATTTATATTATAATTTTTCTAATAAATTATATTTGCTCTACTCTGTATTGAAAACACTTTTAAGAATAGCATTTTTTGGTTATTGAAATATATTCCGTCTACACCTATCCTATAGTTGGGTATATATATATATATATATATATATATATATACCCCCACACACACACACATATATATATATATATATATATATATATATATGAAGAAATATAATCTTATAGTGCAAAATATCAGAGATAGAGCATGTGTAAATATAAAAGTGACAATTGAAGTCATCACTTAGAGGTGTCAGTCTGTTTCATGCTAAACGCAATCGTCAAGCCACGGTGGCTTGACGATTGCGTTTTATATATATATATATATATATATATATATATATATATATATATATATATATATACAAATGTAAATGTACTATAACCTGAAGAAGTATAATCTTACTACTGAAGCATGAAAGCTTTTGTGTAGCGATGTAAAATGTTTTTATTGTAATTTATTATACATGAGTATATTAACAATTTTTCTGTACGATTTATGCACCCAACCTGAGCTATCTCAACATTCATAAATATAAATATATAAGTTATTTTTATAAACAAATAGACTAGCGTTTTCAACAGATGATTAATACTTCAATTATGAAACCTGGAGAATGTCTACCTTGAATACTATCCACGAAATCTTTTAATTGAGATGTAACCATGACCTTTTTGCGCCGGTGGATATGCATTACGATTCAGAAGATCAAGCAGATTAAACTGGAATCTTCACAGATTCGGCATTAGGGACTGAAGGTCAAAATACGTTGAATCAATGCTATTTTTTTTTTTTTTTGCTTCCCAGCGCAAAATGACCTTCGATGACCATGCAAAACAGTCAAGAAATATCTAGCCTACAGCTTCATCGTCAATGACCATTCAGATGAGAAAATGCGTGAATGAAATGGCTAACCACAGGAAGAGAGGAAAAACTGAATATAGTGTCCTTTTTGCAAAGCGACTATGAGAAAAAGCGGATACTTACTGATGGTGTCACGTGATCGAATTCTGATGGATATCGAACGAGAATGGCGATGTTTAATCTTTGATCAAGTGTAAATATTATGGAAGAAATATGGCTTAGTGTAGCATAATATCACAAAAGATGATAATGGAATTAATATAGTAGAGGACTGAATTGATAGACAAGTTTTTAACTTCACTCTAGATATGCCTAATTTTATTTTTGTATAGAACAAGGCCAAAAATGCTGGATAGTTTTTGTTTTATTTCAACAATTAGCTTTGCCTAAGGTATAGGGTGTGATGGATAAATTGTCGCCATTTTATATTTTAATTTCGCGCATGGGCGTAGTTTGTTTTTGATTTTGTCGACTGCAGAGTAAAGCAGGGTCAGTTGGGCACCTTCTGTATGAAAAATAGCACCATAACGCAATTCGCTCTGTCAGAAATTTGGAAACGGCATGCTGTACTGCTTGGCATTCGCACCGCAAGCTCTAATACGAGTATTTCGGAATGTTTGCGTGTCAATCCCTGAGGAGGATTCGGAAAGTGTTGGTTGAGTTTGTTGGTGATTAGGAAGTTACGGCAGCTCAGAAAACACACTTTGATCGTTCTGATAAGAAAAGAACTCACGGATTTTTCAGGGTCCTCAAACTGAACATTGAGAGCTACATCAAGTTGTCTTGAGGATGTACTGCTGCCCTGGGTCAAGAGGGTGGCTGCTGGAAAAACCTAAGTCCGGCAACAGGGTTCTGCATCAAAAACTCCTTCTAACATCAAAGATGAACTGAAGGCAAGGTCTATGGAAGCATTCAGCAACTTAAACAAAGAGACCGTCTAGAAGAGTTGCAGGAGATTCCGAAATTGTCTGGAGGCCGTGGCTGAAGTCAATTCCGATTTTATTGAATAAACTTAATCTTCAGATATTTTCTGTGCAATTTCGGTAAATATATGTTAAAATCAGATATTAGTGTTATTTTCATTTTTGCGGAATTTGAACGACAATTTTATCCGTCGAAAACTGTATGTTACATTGTTTGAGTGGTATAGAGTGCATATATTTTCATCCTTTATGCTAGAAATTTACAAGGTATTTCTTTTTACTTAGGGATTCTTTCATTTACGTAGGCGAATTTGGTCTAATGGTTTATTTAAGACACATGTCACAGTGGATAAAGGCGTTAGTTAGAACCAGCGACAGGACCCAAAGAGTGTGAGTTCAATACCCGGTTAAGGCAGTGGAGAACTTTGAGAGGTGGATTAACAGGAGATAACTGACAACTGACATCCATTAAAACATGCCACGTGGAACTAGAACAGTCTACCCCAGTGAGCGAAATAAAGGGTTCAGTTCGACATTCCAACCCCCTGAAGATGGCCGGAGCTTACAACGTTTCGGACGTTGTAATAAATATGGCAACAAAGATGAGGACAATAGTCAGAATAATGTAAATAATGTGCATAATACCTCATCTCAGAAATATAGACAGATACTTAGTAATTTTTTTTGGCCTGGGAACGTGATTTTAGTTATTTTCTCCCCAAGACAGAGTTTACAATTTTTGTTTTTATTGTTGTAAGCTGGTAGTTTTTTCCCTTATTCCACATTACATTTTTGGTTTCATTTGTTTGTTTTTTCTTTTTCATTTCCCATAGATATTTGGAAAAGAATTGTGCTTTTATGGCATTTTCTGTTTATAAAGTATATTTTGTGTTGGAAATCTCTCTTTCCAGAGTTCTTCAGTGATTCCTATGTATATTTTTTCTTCGTAATCTGCTCATAATTAAATAGAGTTTGTAATATTATATATCATTGGAGGCAGTTGTCGTTTAAGGAACTTTTTCCTGCAGTTACAGGTTGATTTGTTTCGTTCGCGTTGCTTGTTGCTTAGTTTTCTGTTGTGATTTTATGAGTTGTGTCATGTTTGAGCAACTATAACTGATCTTTATTGTGTGGCTGTTGAATATCACGTGTAGAGTGATTGTTATGGGGGAAGTGGTTTTGTATGAATTTA